TTCTGGTGTCATGTTTGTGTAATGACATCACGCAGCTTTGAGTGATAAATTACACTAGCAGTCCATTCTTAGGCAAAGGGCAGTGCAAGGTCGCAACCTCATGGGCTGCGGAAACGGTAACGATAAGCGGGGGGTTATCCTTCTGCTGATTCTTGAGGATGGCCACCCCTCGCGTCACCTGTCTGTATCTTACTGTCCATCTCGTACCAGGGAGGAGAACAACGAGAAGCTCTTCTCCCTCTCAGCCTCCAAAGAGGAGCGCGTTTGGGCTCAGGAGAACAATAAAACGGTGTCAGTTTCTGCAGGAAAACAGAGACAAAGTGAAAGAGGAAACAATTCATCCACAACAGGACACGAGAGCGTGGAGGAAGGCCCGTCTTCAAAGATGCAGGGGTGGCTTTTCAGAATAGTTTAGAGGTGGCGCACTTCAAACGGCCCGGCGCAGCTCTCGTACTGAGCCGTTTTTCCTGCTATTCATGTGGTTTGGTTTTGGGTTGCTATAAGTAGTCCGCATCCTGTCCCTCTGTGGTCTCAGGTGGATACGTTTTGTTTTTCTTGCTGGGGCCAGGCCTTTAATGGCTCTCTGTACTTCCACTGCTACTGTTGGCAGGCAAAACCGATTGGCTTGTTAGCAATGCGTATATCAAACGTGAGAACTGCAAAACTCTTCTGGCCTTATGGATGTGGCTCCCCACTTGAATTTTGTAGAAATGTTTCTCTGACACATTGTCAGACCCAACAACCGCAGAAAAATGAAGAGAGACTCTTCAAAAAATTCCTGCTCCAGAGTCCTCTTCACCTCTAAGATGATTCATCTTCCAATGTGACAATAACTAGAAGCACACAACAAACATAATGAAGTAATGTCAGTGACTTCAAGAGCAGCCAGTCAAAGTCTTTGATTGGCCCAACTAGAGCCTGTACTTAAATCCAATTAAACATTTCTGGGAAGGTTAAAAATGCCTTTGTAGCAGTAGTACAAAAGAATATTAGAAAATATACAAAACCAGGGCTGCCCAGCCTTTAGAGACAAACCTGAGAAGAGTTGAAGCTATTACGGGTGTCCGAGGTGCTTCAACAAAGTTAAATTTCCAATAATTACATGCAGTTTTTAGTTTGTCTGTTTTTTATAAAATGTGACAGACGTGAAGTTATGTAAATGTGAATAAAATAAACACAGACTGACTCTGTTTTACTGATTTCGTGACCAGACCAGAGTAAAGGTGGTTGGATATAAATGTGCATCAACTTTTCACAGTTTTGTAAAGATAAAAATATTTGATAACCAGGTACCGTTTTCCTTTTAAGTCACACCTTGAGTTAGTCAATCACATATAATTCCAATAATTATTTTTTTTTTTAAATCAGTGACGTTTGTGGTCGTATTGTCAAAATATGAAGGGGTATCACAGCTTTTGCAAGGCGCTGCAAATAAAACTAGTAGCAGTTTCTGTTGCTGCTCTCTTTATTTGCTCGTGAAAAGGTAATCAAGGCGGAGCGTGCGTGCTGGACTTGTGGTTTATTATAGTTTGCCAATCCTCTTATTTCTGTTTGAGAAAGCATCTGCTCTACAACCGTGCTAAGTGTCACTGTATCCGCCTTTTCCCCCTTCAACCTCCTGGATAAATATAGGCTTGAAGACATGCCTCCCTGCAACCTAAGCGGACCCTGCCCCGTCCGTCTGTCTACCTCTGGCCTTCCTCGCTTCCCCCCCCACCTTTTTCAGAGCTTTTTTTTTGGTGCCCTTTTGAAATATCTCATCCACGTAGATCGGAGGTGGTCTTCTTGTTACCTCTGCTCCTCTTACAACGCCCAGATGCACACATGGCCCATTGTTTAAAAGCACCAGCCTGATTAGCGTGCACTCACCGAAGGGGCTGGTAAGCAAGCCACTTAGAGGAGTAAATGACCTCTGTGGTGTAATTATGTACAGTTTGTGGTAACCTGGTGGTCTAAACTTGAGGTAGAACACCCCTCTGCTCTCTTTGGCCCACCTGCGCCTTTGTTAGTCACCCAAGAAAGCTTGACAAAAAAGTCTTTAGCGTTCTACTTCTCTTACTCTTTCCCTCTTAACAACCCTTTCCTATTACGGGCTTTCAAATGTGTCTGGATGTCCTCTCGCCCATCTGTAGGTCAACCGGCCCATTAATTATTTGGTGATTACAGAGTGATGGGGGGGGAAAAGTGGCAATGTTTGTCTAACATGCGGTAGGTCCTGTTTATGTAGTATCTCGGGTTAGGTTTGTTCTTGTCATTGTTTCCTTGTGACCCATGACTTCAACTCCCCTCAATAAATCAAGACGGTCATTTGTAAGCGTTCGAGCACATTTTAAAGCTAGTTTTATGCTGCGCTGGGTGACGTAATCCCGGTTTTTCTCTGCCTTAAGAATCACGCTTTTAAACACGTTTACCCATGCCGAAGCCAAGAAGCAGTGAGGACCAATTCAAAGGGTGAAGTGGGGCACCGACAAATCCAGAGATGCTAACGAGTGCAAACATACACTCATGTCCTGATTGTGCAGTTGGTAGTGTGGACAATGGGGGCGGAGAGAGGGAAATGTGCACGGCAGCTTTCCATTATGAGATCCTGTGTATTACTGTAATCCAGAGGGCCTCCTGCTCACTGTGGCGTGTGCCAGACTCCTGGGTGGGCAATCTCAGAGACAGTGGGGAGGCCCAGCTTATTTCTGGGCACATTTGGCATGGCCTACATGGCTGTTACAGGAACTAGAAGTGGAACAGAAGTCATAAAAAGAGGCTTTGATAGATTGGGGGGAAACTTTTTAAGGCGTTAGAGGTGAAAGGTGCACCTGTGTCGTGTTTTGCTTTGAATTTTTCTCTTGAAAGTGATATATTAGCAAAATGGACTAATATTCAAAGACTTCCACGTAACATGGTTGTCCTTCACTTCCTGCCATTTATTTTTCTGCAGGGTTAGTTGTTAGAGACTGTCACAGTGAGAAAACCCATCTGGCCCTGAAGACCACTTTTTGGAAACCTGCTAATCGTCTCAAGTTAGCAACCTGCCTCAGGAGACTCAGAAAACCTTTCAATGTTCTGTCAGAGGGCTTATCCCTGCCCTACCGGAGGGCTCCGCTGTTCACTGAGACGGAGATGGTTGCTTTCCCTCTGGAAATACGTCTTAAACCTGTTGAGGGGCCAGGAACTGTGACTTGGTTGATGAGAAATTTGCAACAAAAATGTACATGCAAACAAAAAGAAAACATTTCATATTTTTATTATTATTATTGACAATATCGCTATTTTGTTCCTTCTTACTTTCATTTTGTAAATTTTGCTACAAGTTGATGCATTTTCAACCATAATGATGTTCTATTATGTACAGAAAAAAAAACAAAAAAAAAACGAATGAAATGCTGAAGGGGCAAAAGAATGGACACCTAGCAACAAATTTAGGTAAATTAATAAATAAAATTAAGCAAAATCTACTTACTGGGATCAAAAGTCATTAATCACAACAACAAAGCATAGTAAATAAGAATAATGAATAAAATATTTTGAAAATTGAGTTAATGTGCAGTGAAACTAAACATATAATTCATTTAGATAAAGTCAAATTGTTAAGTCTGCTAAAAGCCAAACCAAAATTAACTGTCCGTTATTCCCTTTCAAAGTCAGGTAACAAGTCAAATCGAATACAACAAACACAGGGATAGTTATTACTTATACATTAAAATATTTACTGATGCTATATAGTTTGACGAGGTCAAACAAAGTAGTTGAAATCCAGTTCACAAATGAATGACTGGAATGTTTTCTTTTCAGCTTTCAGAAAATACTGAAATCTTGACATCAGCATTATGAGCTTCACATGAAAAATACTGTATGGATCAAAAGATATTGACTGCATTTCAACAGAGATTCACCTTACGGATGTGTAGCTTAAATGCGAATTGTATGGTATGCTCTGCATTATTCGCATCTGTACAGAATGGAGCGGGTGCCTCCCAGCACTGGGGAGCCTGATTGCCATAGTTACTGAAACAACAATGACGATCGTCCCAAGGTCACAACCCTCCACGACCTGGGTTCAGGGGGAGGTTGTCCGAGGTTTCCTGAAAATGATGGGTGGGAAATCTTCACTTCCCGGACCTCCCAGTAACCCTACAAAGTGGAAGATTTATGAGACACAACGAGGACTCCCCTGATTGGCTTTATGACTGCACTTCCACTTTGTTCTCTACTAATGCCATCAGGATGTCTTCAACCCTAAACTTTGACTCCAGAGTGAATGTTCGATGCGGGATTACGGAGAGTTGGCAGGATGACTCGAGAGACAAAAAGGGTTATGAAAACTGAACGCCACATTTTGCACCGCGATGCTGTTTTACTATGCAGGCTCCGGCGGCGCACCTACGAGCTTTAAACTGAAATATACAGCGCTCGCTCGGATGAACAGCTGACTTTTACACTAATAGACACGCACACAGTCACAGGCAAGCACTGGCACTAGTGGAGACAAGCATGGGTCACCTGGTAGGTCATGCCCCCCCACTGGTCAGCTATGCTATAAGACTGCAATGATTATGTGCCTGTCTGCAAGCATGCATTCGAGCATGTGTGTTTTGGAATCTGAACATGTGGACACATGCTTCTTGATTCTTTTTGAGGGCATCTGTGCAAGTGTGTATTAGTCTATGGAACATGATGAGGATGTTTAGGATGTTTACATGGGTTTTAGTTTCTCTTGATTATCCTCAGGACCAACAGTAGCTTCTGTTTTGAATTAATTTATAAACTAACTTTAGGATTATATTCCTGGTTTATAGTTATAAATTTAGTATTTATAGCACATTTTTGAGGCGCACTAGTACACTAAAGCATAGATTTACCTTCTCAATTAGGAATTTAAGCGAACTAATTACAACTAGTTGACTGCAAACATGATAAACAATCTACGACCCCATAAGAAAAAATACACTTTACTTTTTAAAAGTACAGAACAGAGAAGTGTGACTAACAAACTCTGAATAACATACCTCTATCCCAACTATGACCAGCTTTTACTGCGACTTCAGCTGAAAGTCTCCACCAGCTTAAGGCATGAAGAGGATGGAGCTGTTGCTCATACATTTCAGCAAAACCCCTCAAGCTCATTTAGGCTAGAAGAAGAACGTTTGCAGACATTAATTTTCCAGTTTTGACATTGTTTCTCAGCTGGATTTTGTTTGCAACAAACAAATAATTTTAACAAGCAAACAAATAATTGTGTAATGACTTTGACATTGACTTTCTTGTCGTCACTCTTGCATAAAAGCTTGTTTTAAGGTTAAATTGTTGTTCTGTCAACAGACTCTTCTGCCTGAACTCTGCAGCTCCTCCAGAGTCACCATATATGTCTTGGCTGTTTTTCTGATTACCACTCTGTGAGCACAGACAGCCATTTGTTGGTAGGTTTGCAGTTGTGCCAACATACAAACCTACCATTATATAACTGCTTACATGCTGTTTTATATCACTAACTTGACTTCTCCCCAGTTTTACACTGGACCTGTCCGCATTGTCTTTTAGCTATTGCTGAAGATGGAGCAGCTCTATTTACACTGAGATAGAAAAACACAGAGGTGGACTCTGTTTTCAAACTAATGGCAACTGATTGACTGAGTTGTTTCAAGAAGAAGACAGGGTTAAATAGTTTTTCACCACACCTTTCAGACTTTTAAAAAACTGTAGAAAAAACAAAAAACACGTGTCACTTTCACAGTATTAATCTGAATTAACTACATAGAAGTTTGTTTATGTAATGTGATAAAATAGGGGTGCAAATATTTGCAATTTACTGTATTAAAAATGAAGGTGAAATAAAAACCTGCAATGTAAAAGTTTTTTCAAAAAGATTGTCCCCCTTTTTTTTTTAAGGAAACAAATTCAGTGATTTGAGAAAAAAAAAATCTTGTGTCTTTACTTTAGTTGTTAAGGAACCACCCCATCATCAGCGACTGCATGAGAAAAAGAAGCAAGGAGACAGCCAGAATATAATCTGAGCCAAATTCAGCAGAATGGCCTGTTTATCATGGCGACCCTTCAGCTCTCATCTCTCGTGCCTCGTATTCCATTTGTCTTTCAGCTGTGAAAGAGCGTTACGCAGCCCACAAGTGACCCACAAGCGCCCAAAATGAATACAGTGTGCTAATAGCTGTGAGAAGACACCCTGGGAGCAACCATGAAATATGTGCAAGGACCCGTGACCACTGAGATAATAGCCCCTGACCAGACCACGGATTGTCTGTCCACTCTCTCCTCCGCCGCTCTCCCGCTCAGGTTTGGAGTGGCTCGGGTCCAGGACAGATGGTAAGTTGGGGCTTCTGTATCTTATGGCAGAGCAGGGGGTAGGACAAAGCCACATGGGCGATAGAAGGATCAACAAAATGTACCATCCGTCCAGCTAGATTGCAGTTCTCTTTATTTATTTTTCAAAAAGTACACCTGGGGATCTGTTTAATAAAACGGTACAGAGATGTCTATTTCTAATTGTGCACTTTAGTTCGCATACATGGCCTTTTTTTTTTTTTTTTTCTTTTAAGTATATTAATAATAATAGTCTGGATTAAAAGTGCATTCGTCTACCCACAGAAAATATCCTCTATCTTCCTCATACAGGTTTCCAGACGAGCCACTAAACACAAGCCACAGCAGGGCCGGTGCCGGCTATTTCCTAGCAGGGAGTTTTGTTTGTGGGAGCTTTTTGTGTTCATCTGCCGAACCACATCCAGGGCAGAAAGAAGAGAAGATGGGGGCAGCTCTAATTAAAGCCCAAGGAAGAGTGTCATCTGCTGTGAACTCACAACCGGGGGGGCACAGCAAATCAATGGACAGCCAGCTCTGTCATCACCATCAACAGCTCCCGATCAGAGCAATTGGAGGGGAACAAAAAGGAGCGAGAAAGACACTACCGGGGAAGCTTCTACCACCTGTGCCGAGCCTAAGAGTGCCGAGGGGGAGAGAAAGAGGGAGACGGGCACAGAGATCCATGAAAAACACAGACCGAAATTGTGACGCCACGGTTCAATCTATTGTGAAACACTGGAGATTTATCGTTTCTTAGTTAGGGTTAGCAATTTCGCAATCATCACCCTAGACATCTATTTTGATAAACAAAGAAGGTGCAATTCTATGGCCAGAATGATCTAAAGACCTTTTAAAAAATATAGATTTTTCTTTTTCTTTTTTTTTTTTCCCCCTCTTGCTTTTGTTATTGAATCTAGCGGCTACACAGAGAGAGAGAGAGTGCCAACGATAAATGTTTCTTGCAACAAGAAAAAGTGTTTCCAGCGCAAATTTCGGAGTATTGAACTCTGCAAGCGGTATCAGTGCTCTCCTGTCTGTGTGAACCGTGCCTCCGGGCCAGAGAGCTTTGGTGCGCTGGATCAGATTCTTACACAAACACGGCCGCAGAGACGGCATGTTCTCGTGGCATTAGCATTCCAAATGTTTTTTTTTTTGTTTTTTTTTCGAGACGAACGTGAATGCGACTATTTTTGTCTCATAACGCGCGCTCTCAGATAGCCCCCTTTTGAATAAATGAATTCTGACAAGGGGAATCTGCATACAAAAACACAGCAGGTTTTAAGGCAGCGGCTGGTCGACCAGCGAAGACCTCTGAAGTCCTCTCTGAATCTCTTCATTCATCGCCTGCTCCTTGCGGGCCCGCGGCTCTTTAAATGGCCGCCTGTGTTTGTGCCGTGTTCACACTGGCGGTTAGAGAGGCAGCGAGGCATACACCAACACATTAAGTCCTCTGTGTTTGTGGTTGGCACCTGCAAATCCTTTTGCTTGCCTTAATGTCATGCAGAAATGTGTTGAATTTAAGATGTGATCTTAAATGGAACCTCGAGTGTGATTCTGCGAAGAAAATAGGAAAAAGCAGCGTACTTGTTTTTGCCTTCAGGCAGGCACAAATTTATTGGTCTTTGTGCCAGAAATTCAGACACCTGAGCTGCGAGACCAAACCGTTTCTAAGAGTTCTGAACTTTCTACACTTTTACCCTACAGGGTTAAAGACTATTTGATTTGTGTCTTGTTTTGCTGCCTAGTACCAGCCTATCTCAATGTGCTGAGTTAACCCAAAAACAGGGTTTGAGTGACCAGTGTGTCACACTGAGGCAGCCAAAGAGTGGCCTAAAAAATGACAATGATCCAAACTACAAACAAATTACACACACACACACACACACACACACACACACATATATAAGTATATCTTTATCTTTCAATTATTAAGTAAAGACAACAAAATTGTCTAATTTGTAATGACATCGTTGTTATGAATAGTAAAATTCCTACTTGACATCCCATTGTATGAAATTAGTAAGAGTCGTATTCTTGTTCTCTTTTGTTAAAACTCCAAGATCACATTTTGAAATTAGCACGGCTAAAACCAGGAATAAAGCTGTAACACAGGTAGCAAGAGAAATATGTGTGGAAGAAAATAAAGTTTCTTAGGCGGACTGTATTGACTGCATGACCAGTTCGGTCAACGTGAAAGTCCAGCACAACAAGCACAAGCTTATTTCAGCTACTTTGCAGGTCAAACATGAAGGTCGTCTAGAGTAAGACACCCTGACAATTGCCTTCTTTTACCCTCTAATCATTTCCTATTTCACTGTGTGTGGAAGAACACTGAAATCTGATCAGGTTGTGCAGCCAGGTTGGTTTTGATGGTTCTTTTTCTCTAAATGAAGGAAATCTTAATTTGAAAACTGTGTTTCATATTTACTCAAGATACAGTTGTTTGATATTAAAATATTTTTGATAATGTAAAACATTTGAATGTGACAAAAAAAAAAAGTCCTGTCACAACGTTTTTGTTACTTTGCTCACTTAGTTTTGTACAGTGTCTGTATTGGGGTGAACACCATAAACTTTAGATTGTGCTGCTGCATGGAAACTGTTACTTTTTTCAATATTATTATTATTTATGTATTTATTTTTGTACAAAAATCACCCAACCATCCCGAGATAAAAGTCCAATGTTTCATACACAATCTACATGCGCCCTGAATAGATACAAAAAAGTATTAGCCAGATGATTTAATCGGAAAGTAAATTAGGATGCCGTCAGTTCCTGCGTTTGGCAGGCTTCCAGGTGAACTTTGATCAGTTGGAGATTGTGTCTCCAGCTAATTCACATTTGTGGAAAAGTAATGGTGGCATGTTATTTATTTAAAGCGACCTTCATTTGTCTACAAATTAAATGCAAGGCAGATATATATATATATATATATATATATATATATATAAAAAACTTTGACAGAGATATAAAGTCTTTTATGAAATGACATGAAGAAAAATGTCGGAGCTTCACTGTTTGCTTTAGCCTGGGGCAAAAAAAAAAACCTGATGATTTCTCATTTGGGATCATTCTCCTTGCATCTTGCTCTTAAATTCTTGGTGGAAAAGGTTCAAATGAAGAAAAGGGAGGATTTAAAAATACATGTTAGCCTCAGTTAAGAAGTCTCAATTGTCACACTTAAGTTCAAACGTACTAAAAACGGTACTTTTATAAAACTCTGAATCAGGTCATTGTGGAAATTTCATTTGAAAATGCTTAAAGAAGTATGTTTTGCCAGGGTTACTTGTAAAATCTAAAAAATACATCTGACTATGAAACAACTCGTATTCAATATTGAAAAACGAAGTGACACAAAACACATTAAAAATGTTGATGAAACCTTAGAAATAAAATGAACAAGTTTACTTTGAGCATCATAAAGACGCTCGATCTAAAGGCAGAGTGATGTGGCCGTTTGATGCATTCAGAAGGAAACTGAGCACAATAATTACACATACTAAATGTATCCATTCAAAAAGACAAGGCAGAGAGAGTGCATTGGAAATTACAGGGTGCATTGCTTTCTGAATCGCAGAGCATTTGCCGTACAAATGAGACCCGTGTTTTAAAATGCTAATTTGCCAGAGCTGTCCAGACTGCTGCAAAGATTCCCCCCTTTACCAAATGCGTGACCACGCCACTGAACGCGTTTCACTTCATTCAGAACAAACCTCACCTTTGATGAGGTTCGCAGAGTAACACTCAGGCCCACGCGGTGCTTGTGGGTAGATGGAGCAAACTTTCAAAGCAGAGCCATCTCCATATGTTTGCGACGATAATCTTTCATCCACCATCCCCGACTTTGGTTCTCTCCCCTCTGCGCCTGTGGCAACAATTTTATTTCTGCATCAATTAGCACAGTGATTAATACAACAAGCAAACAGTTTAGAAGTAATGGGACACAATTAACATCTTTCCCCATCATAAAGGATATGCTAAACACTCACACCAGCGCTTTATCTGCCTGGAATAAAGATGTGTTTAGTAGCTAATTCATATGCTCTGGGATGGAAGCGGAGAGGGCCTGGCTTTGAGCTATGCCATCGCCACATTAATCTAATTATACTTAGCCGAAAATGAGTCTTGCAAATCGAGTCTGCCTGTGACACTCTTACACTCCCACCCCCACCTTAACACATACACTCACACACGCACGCACACACACAAGCCTATATTGTTCCCTAAATGGGAGAGTGAATGAGAATGCCTTTGCGTTTTCTATGCAAGTGCCAACCCCCTCTTCAAATGCCAATGTAGCGAGTGAAAGGACGCCATTCACTTGCTTTGTATCCAAAACTTATTACCGCCTTACTTTGCTTGCAGCCCCCTTCTCCCTTTCCTCTTTTGCTGTTTTCTAATTACAAAATCATTGGCGCTGGGAGGGTGTGCATGGGTAAATAGAGCTGTAGGGGCCTGTCATGTGTGTAGTAGTGGAGAGAGGTCCTCGCAGCGCTCGGGGATGAGATGATTTGTTGTGATTGACAGCTACCTTGAGACTGGGCCTGATGGAGTTGTCAAAGCTGTATGCTAACAGACTGTTTCCTTACCACTGCAGATGTACTCTGCTCCGCTGTACTGCACACACACACACACACACACACACACACACACACACACACACACACACACACACCCCCACACACGCACGCGCGCAGGCACACGTACTCTCTCACACACGCACGGCCTTACTTAGCATCAGGCATATCATGGGAACCCAAATATTTAACGGGACGACGGTTTTAAAATGCCATACGAGAAGAGGATGTCAAATTTCAAATCAAATGTTCCTTTTGGGGTTACTCTAGAGTAAACAAGCACTTTGTACCGAGGGTTTCGCACTGCCACCTCTTACATATCACAGGTTTGTTTTCTCTGCAAAGCGTAGACTGAGCCCTTTTTTAAAAGGTGCCTTCTTGGGCTAACACTGGGTGTGTGAATACAATGGCAATCCTACATCTGGGAACTCAGTGGGAAAACTATCCCATTTCTCACTTGTGCTGTCAGAAGAGGGTGTTCATTTTTACAAGGTGGATAGTGTTACTACAAAATGAAGTTGTGCAAAATTCCCTGTGAAAATCGGGTTATGAGCGTCAGCGGTGATTTTTGACTGGTACTATTCATCACACGGCTCCGCCGAGAGTTGGTGGAGCCGTGTTTGTTTATAGTGGGCTTTATCCCTTCCAACTAACAGTGTAACAACACGTCCAACTCACGAGACAAGATGATACTTTAGCAGCGATTCGAGAAAACTAATAATCTTTATTGTTTTATTCTCAAAAATACAGAGAAGCTTCTCCAAACCACAAGCTGCGTTTTAGATCTGCAGTCAGCGTGCAATAATTTAGTCAGAATTTGAATATTTGTTACATTGTTTTTATGCGTTTGAAATGCTAATTCCTCGATTGTAGAAATAGGAGAAACAGTTCAAATTTTCCAAAAATAAAATAAAGGTTTAAAAATCAAAAAGTGTGTATTTTTAAAGAGTTTCTGCTCAATGTAACCTACAAGTATAAACTCCAAGAAGCAAACAAACAGTTTCTCTCCTGGGCTGCAAAAGTAACTATGTTATTATCTGACTGTTCTTACTAATTGTTCTGAACATGCAAAACTTAATCATCTGGTTTACACAACTTGGTTGATTGCTGCTTGTGAGAACTTTAGACTATTTTAGCACTTTTTTGAGTTTTTTGTGAAGTGTCCTAATCAGAACAATCTTTATTTTTTGTTGTTACCATGCTGAGTAAACATATATATTTCTTGATTATTGTTAATTGTCCTATTTCAGTCCAAGTTTGACAAATGTAAATATAAATGTCGTACATTTTGAATCGGATTTGGTCAAATGTAGTCCAAACAAAAACAAAATAACAGCAACTTTGAAACAGTGCTTCGGGTTAGCAAACACGACACTAGCTTTAGCATTATTCGCGGCTAATGGTTAACCACCACCAGTATTAAAAACATGTTTACAAATCATTCTTATTTTGTCTGTCAGTTTTTTATTTTTCATCTTGACACCTCAGACGCTGTCAAACATTTTTAAAATATCATGGCATTGTTGCACACTTAATAATAAATCAGTGTGGTGTTGCGCAGGTTCTTTTATTTTGACAATTGCTGTGGAAACATGAGAGCGACAGTGAGCGCCTCCGCTGACCAGCCGGTGCTGCGCTTAATTGCCGTTGGCTCGCTCACAAACAAATATTTACCACATGAGTCAAATAATAAATATTTACAATACAAGTCAAATAATTAACAAAACACTTCCACACATATACCTCGCCACTCCGCCCTAGCCCACCTTCCCCACAAGAGACACAAACAGCAGCGCTAATTGACATTTACCTGTGGAAACATGAGAGCGACAGTGAGCGCCTCCGCTGACCAGCCGTTGCTACGCTTAATTGCCGTTGGCTCGCTGAGTCAGGAGTGCTGCTCACCGTGCTCTATGTGCCCACTGGTGGCGAAGCGTTGTCACTGCAGTCCAGTGCATCTCAGGAAGATAAGTGCAGCTTAAGAACACAGCCAGGATAAGAAAAATGGAAGCAAATAAACAAACAGAAAAGGGAGGGGGTGTAATTACATCTGATGTCCATTGTATGTCCATTCTCTCACAGCATCTTTGATATTTTGGTGCCAAAGCGTTGTTAGCAAACTAGACAAGAAATCTTTAGGAGTCAGTTCTGTCAGGTCAACAGAAGAACTAGTTCCTCTGTAGCCTAAAAACAAGAGTTTCAAACGTGGATGCTGGTCATCACAGTCAAACCGCTTACCTTCATATCTGATATATAAACTCTAATTACACTACTAGTTTTAAGCCTTTGAATGTAACGAGAGACGTTCACGAGGACAACATTTGATGCAGCGTGTTCAATCCCGATGTTCCCCAGTCTTAATTTAATGTGCGAGTAGATGTGTTGAACATCATCAAAAGGACGGGGCCTCGGCTTCAGCGGGGTATAGAATGACCAGCTTCACTCTGCACTTGGTGACCGGATTTCTCCCCCCTTCCCCCCTTCCCCCCCACGCCCCCAAGTCCTTTCTTCTTCTTTCCCCCCCCCCTCCTTTTCCCCAATGCCTCGTTCTCCGTGCTCTTATTCATCTCGGGGAACAAAAGCTAAGTGTTTAGCTTCGAGCCAGATCAAGGGCCCCGGCTTCTTCCTCCCAGGAAAAGGTGGAATAACAAACATGGCCGTCGCCGAAATCAGCCGTACCTTCTGTCGACTCCAGACTCCCACATCTGTGCCGCACCTCTCTCTGTCTCCCACACAGCTGCTGCGGAGGCTGGGGAGGCTCCAGCCCACTGCCTCCGGGCTCCCATTGCCTGCGGGTCCCCCGGGATCCAGCTGACTGGCACCCAGACTGCCAAGCAGATGATGGATCCTGCCATGAGAATCAAAAGTGACGAGGCGAGGTGAGGCTGCAGGAGTGGTCACCGCTGAACCTGAGGACGAGGGGCAGATGCGGTCACCTGCCTCAGCTCTGTGTATGCATATGTGTGTGTGTGTGTGTGTGTGTGGATTTACATAAGTGTTTACATGCAGATATGCAAATGCCTGTGTAAACACATGCCTTTGAATGGCCATGTCTGTGGGTGGTTATTTTGGCACATCAAGTTCCTTTTTTTTTTTTTTTTTTTTTTTTTTTTTCTTTTTTTATTCCAACTAATTTGCCATCTTGAACCAAA